GCCATAGATTTGCACAGCGCCCCCAGTCCCAGTTACATATATCTATAGCTCGAGTTCAGCACGTCGTGTATCTGGACCACTTCCAGAAAGTTGCACATACACATTCAGTCGGCTTGTTGAATTTGGCAGGGTGTGTATCTGGACGGCGTTGAGAAAGTGGTTGATAGGAAATATTGAAGAACACAGACCATGTGGCAGTGGATCATTTCGCGGTCCGGAAACATGCACTGGGTCGAGAGTGTCATGAAAAATAAAAATGGCCGTGAACTGTTTTTCGGTCCAGATACATGCGTTCCTGACAAAGAAAAAACGGACCACTAGTATCCGGACGGCTTCGAGAAGGTCACCGAAAGGAATACCATCAAAAAGAAGAGGGCACAGGCTCACAGAGACAGTGTTCACATACGCGTAGTAGGTATCTGGCCCAGTTCGAGAAGATACAGTGATACATGCCGTTCGGAGGGTGGGGGGGTGGGAAGACACCAAAAGCGTGTGGAAAGCCGCCAACCAAAAGAGGGCTCAGGGTCCAGCGGTTCACCCTTTGCCGATGCCACCACAGTGATTTGCAACTAGACACTGTGGGCCATAAGCAAGGATGGAGCAAGACGCTGGACAACGCCAAAATTCCGCATGACCGAGTCTGTACCGCCACCAAGAGTATGATCAAGGTGGAAATTCCACCACCAAGAGTACGATCGAGGTGGAAATTCCTCCACCAAGAGGACGATCGAGGTGGAAATTCTATGTGAATGGCAAGGGGTCAAATGCAACCGAACGCATCCCGGAGAGCGGAACAGGTAGGACTGACAAACTTCAATTAAATTCTGGTTAACCAGAACCAAGGTCGCAGACATCAGTGCCATGCGTCTGAGGTGGAGAGACTACCGTCTTCACCCGAATAGAACGCCCGGTCATTATCGCGGCATCTGGACCGAAAGTTGAGCCAAATATAGCTATAATGACCGGGTGTTCTATTCGGGTGAAGACGGTAGCCCAACTCAGGGATACAGCTCTGGGGATGCAGAACACTTCAATGGAGAGATCTCCGAATCTCTCTTTTTCTTTTTCTTTTTTTTTTTTTCTTTTTTTTCTTTTTTTTCACCTCAGAATCTCATATGGTCGTGATAGTCAGAAGTAGATCCAACAACAAAGGATGAGGAAGCAGAGGGGTGGTTATGCAGACTGAAGGCCGACCCAGACAAGGAATTTTAGTATCTTTCTTGTGTTTTTCTTTTGGGGGGGGTCACTGAGGGACCATTTCTCGATTTATGACTGTCGTTCTTGTGCAGAGGCCATGCCAATCTTCTCTTTATCGTTCCAATTTTTACGGATGTCTTGTTTAGAATACGAAGGAAAAAAAAGGGAAAAAGAGCAAAACTGACAGGTTTAGCGGTGGGAACCTGCGAGGAACTCATAAAAGACTGGCAACCTGACGGTTAATCCTCCTTACATACGGAGCATACTGTGCAGGGGTCCCTTGTTGGAATGGGAAGGAAGCCTGAGGGTGTAAACGCTGCGTGTTCATGAGCTGCGTAGCACGGGCAAATGTGTTCGCACCCCTCCTCATTCGCACGAACGACTCGCGAACGTGTTCAGGCGAGCATAATTTTTCCCGTAAAAAGAATTATTGGGTTTTTGATTTTTAACTCGCGTTTGGCTAAGAACTTGATCATGACTCCAAGGCAAAAGTTGCTTGTATTGTTGTTTTACTGTTTTACTGTTTTACATGATTTTTTTTTCAGATTTTTCTGAGGATTCCCCCCCCCCCCCCCCTCAATGTTCACGTTCGGAGGGTTTGGGACGCTTGTTCAGGTTCGGGTGAACATGTTCGTGTTCGCCTCGGAACGCAAACACGATGCTACGCAGTTCATGACTTGCTGGGGAAAAAGGAGCCACACTGACGCTTCCCAGAATGGAAATGGAGCCAGGACCATAAGGATCTGTTTTTTCAAAAAAAAGAACCCCTGTCTGGAGCTAGTAAGCCTAGTATCCTTAATTAATTTAAGCGCTCTCCACCCCTGGGCCTGCACTTTCCACCCCCCTGGGCCCATCCCGAACACCCGGAAACTGCGTTACAACGAGCAATTCCAGGGGTTTGGGACATCCACCAGTTTTCAGAGAGACTGACCTGCAGTCTCAGGGCCTGGATGGTGACTGCCGACCGGTTCGTTACACAGCAGTTGAAAGTCGATGTGGGCGGCTGGCGCCAATGCAACCCTTTCTGAGCATTATTTTGCATTAGCCTACAATAACCTCGAGCAGAACCCTTTCCGCCTCTTTACTCGTCAGTGTCAACAATGTAGCTGTTCTGACGTGGCGCTCGGCGCCCAGACTACTGACAGCCTGTTCCTATCACCTAGACATCTATAACTACAACAGGTCAGCGCTGAAGATCGTCATCCCATTGACCGCACTGTTTTGCACGCTTTTCCCCAGTCTTCCCCAGACAGCCGTCTTTGAGCAAGTGCTCTTCCTTTTTTTGTTCTGGCTGGGTGTACACTACCTGGCTGGACTGGGTGCTCTCACTCCCAGTTGTTGCACCCCGGGCTCTTCCAGGTTTTACGCAGGGCTCAACTGTAGATGCTTCGGGCCTCATCGTCTTTGGCTAGGCTTAAGCATATCCAAACCACCAGAGGCTGGGCCCTACCGGCTGGTAGGAGATGCTGCATGCATCAACCAATCCGAGGTGCCCCTTCTCCTGCTCACATAGGCATGTACTCAGGCCAGGTCACAAGTTTGCGGGCCCGCCTTCTAAGCTGCTATATTCAGTATACCTCCCAGTACCTATCTAAATAGGAAAGATACACACACCTTCACTTAGGGAAGGTGCAGGCTTTTCCAGCATTGCCGAGGGGCCTTAATTCTCACACATCCTTGAACCGACCTGGCCCACCAGGTACATCGGAACAATGCTTTTTCTGTTCATCAACTTGCATCTGGATCCGCACTCGTGCATATCAACAGTTCATGGGGATACCAACTGAGCTAGGCATGTTGGTCCTGTCTTCTATCCTTTTTTAGTGATAACGTCTCTGATTGACTCCTTGTTGTTCGTCGACTTCTTCTCTCTCGTCATTTGCTGTGTAACAGAACCAGCTGTGGAAACATATGGTAGCGAGGAATGGCCAACAACCCCTTCATTGTGCAGTTCTAGCCAGGTATGTGATGCTTCCCATCGCCTTTGCCTCTATATACCCAAACGTCAACCCAAGACTGGTTTCTAGCCAAGGAATGTTCATGCTTGGAGAGCATGAATCAGAATGGTACAGCGTCCAGATTCATACTTTCCTAGCATACTGACAGCACCAATGGGTCCTGGCTCCAAGGCTGACCTTAACTTTGGGTCTGCTGTGGGTGCAATTTTTCATGCTTGGAAAAAGCAAGAACCTGACAATAACAGCGTCTACATTCGTACTTTCCTAGTCTGCACATAATGCCAGCATCTACATTCGTATTTTCCTAGTCTGCGCATAATGCCAATCGGGCCCGGTGGTAAGGCTGACAGTGACTTTGGGTCTCTTGTTGAGCTCATCAGGCTTACCTTGTCTGTCTCAAATATAAGGAATTTCATCCATCAATCCTCTCGGGCACTGGAGAGCAGAGAAAATATGTAGCTGACCTGGAAAAGAACACGGCATGTCTTCAACTTTCATTGTGAGCACTGCAAAATAACAGAGCATGTCTAAAAGACTGAAAAGTTCTGCGTCTTCGGGCTCCTTTTCTTTGTTTAAAAGATTTTGCTTCATTGTCAGGATCGTGACCTTACTATGGTCATGGCCCCATGGGTGCTTTGCATTCTGGGGAGCAGCAGTTTGATTCCTTTTCCACTGTTATTCTGAGAATCAGCAATCTGGGTCCTTTCCCACTGGTGCTGGAAAAGTAGAATTGTGGACAGTATTGTTGTCAGGCTCATGTTTGCCAGGTCATAGGAAATAGCACTTACTATCTGAGAATTTGGGGGCAAAACTGAAAGGAGAAAAGCACTGAAAGGCTAGGCTGGTCCCCGGGCCGCCCAGCGGCCTGGCCGTCGCCCGGGGGGGTGTGCCGGGCTGCCTGGCCGGTTGTCGCACCCGGTTGGCCACCAGGCGCCCCCAGCACATCACTGTAGGTTAGTTTGTTTTTTTTTTTTCGGCGCTGGGCCCCTTTTTGCCCCCTTGATAGACCGTGTGGACCGCAAACAAAAAAAAAAAAAACGGGGCCGGTAGGCCTGATTTCACCGATTTGAAATCGGGCCCCATCTGGATCGTTGATCTCGAAGATCGACGGCCCGGATTGCACCGATTTCAAATCGGTGAGGGTGGGAACTACCGGCCCCCATTCCCTCCCCTGTGCTGAAGATGTGCCCCCGACGTCCCCCCTTCCCTGCCTTGCAGCACTGTGTGTCCGCCGGCCTTTGACGCGCAACTTCAACGCGCTTCTTCGACGCACCCCGCCAGCACCTGCCAACGCCCGCCATCGCGCGCGACCACGCCGTCGCCCGCC